ATGGAAAATGAAAGGCATGGCATAATAATAGGGCCCCCCCCCCCAAATAACATCTCCTGGATGGATGGGATCACAACCCCCATCATGCCCCATCTCTCCAGGCCCCCCTCCAGGCAGGTCAACCTACAACGCCCAAGCATCTCCCCTCCCCACCCCAGGGGACCACAAGCCTCATAATCCCTTATGGGCCACAGGAGTAGATCAACACCCTTGGATGGGGGTGGACCACAGCTCCTATCATCCACTTCCTCTGCCCTCCCCCACAGCCAAGCCACTCAGGGGTCACTCAAGGATCCTTTTAGCAAGAGCCCCTCCCAGGCAAGATGGGGTGTCCCCCCTCCCTCCCCCGGGCCCTGATCTTTGTCCAGGGGCAACTTTGTAGGGTTGGGGAAGACCTCCAGACCTTGAGCAAATCAACCCCCCCCATCTTTTGCTTCTGCTGTGACCTATGCCATTAGAGGGAATTTGTGGGTGCCAGTCCTCCCAAAAAAGGAACTTGTGTGATTTTTCTTGTAGAGGAAGTCATTGTTTTGAGTAACTTTTCAAGTATGTTGGCATTTTTAGCAAAGTCTTAAACCTTTATGCTGTTGTGTTTTCTTGACTTCTAATATTTTTTTCCAATGAGAAGATTAAAATATGTAGCAGAAGAGGGCTACACTAACAGTAACTACAGTGGACCCTTGACTTACAGACGGCTTGACTTACAGACTTTTTGAGTTACAGACTTCTCTGGCCGCAAAATTTAGGTTTGACTTGCAGCCTGAAAATTGACTTACAGACCAGAAAAAAACCAAAATGGAACAAAAACGGCCTGTTACGGGATTAATCGGTTTTCAATGCACTGTAGGTCAATGGAGACTTGACTTACAGACTTTTTGACTTGAGAACCGCCTTCCAATACGGATTAAGTTCTCAAGTCAAGACCCCACTGTATTGAATGAGGAACTTGTAACCAGACGGGGGGATACCCAGGATTTCATAGGATGATGTATTGGGTGTGTGGTGTACACACACCCAATACAATGCCTTTTGTGATGTCACTGTGAGGTTTCTTGTTATTAGGAGCGAATGACAACCTTGAAATCCTACTACTACAGTGATGCCTCGCTAGACGATGATGATCCATTCCACTGAAACCGCTGTTTAGCAAAATCATCGTCTAGCGAAAAGCATTTCCCCATTGGAATGCATTGAAACCTGTTTAATGCGTTCCAATGGGGAAGAATCGTCATTGTCTAGCGAAAATCGGCCATAGGAAAGCCGCTTTGCGAACCACCGATCAGCTGTTTAAATCGCTGTCTTGCGAAGCTTAGGTCCCGAAAACAGCCGTTTTGCGAGCGCGGAGGGAGCTGTCAGAATCGTCGTCTAGCGAAAATCGGTTTGCGCAGCAGGGACCAAACATTGTCCAGCTAAATTCCCCCATAGGAATCACTGTTTTGCGAATCACTATAGCAATCACAAAAAGTCAATGTCTAGCGAAAAAACTTTCGTGCGAGGTAACTGTCTAGCGAGGCAACACTCTACTATTTAAATAAGCCCCAAATTCCATCTCTGTGTCACCAACTACTGACTCTAACATTTTGTACCTCTATGGAGCCTGTGGCTCTTTTAAACCTCTCACTTTTAACATCTCTCATTGGCCATCACAGTAGAAGGCGGGGCCAAACCCCCTATCTCCAGATCTATGAAACTATAGAATGTTTCTCTGTGGTTGATACCCTACAAATGCAGTGTTAAACTACAGTTCTCAGCATCCCCAGTAACTCGTTCACTGGCCTTACTAAGAGAGATTAACACTGTCACTAAAAATAAGCACCTATTTTTGACACTTTGTAAACTGTAAGTTATTCCTATTGTTTTCTTCCTCTTTGTTTTTGCTGTGCACGTGTTGGATATTGATTGCATTATCCAGTGACATGATTGCGTGATATCCCTGCTAGAATAACAAAAAATAATGATTGTTTCTTTGTTAAATAACATCCAGTGATTAATTTAAGCAGACTTCCACTGCTATTGTTGATTTTCTAGGCTCTGAACCATGTTTATCTCTTTGTGGATTATCTAGAGTAGAAGAAAGGTGGACTGTAAAATAGCTAATTCTCACTTCTGTGATGCATTATCAATGTTAAGTGGTTCTCTTCTCATTGAACTCAATAGGAAAAGACGTGCCTGTAAAGACGATGTTATGATTTAACTGGGATTTAATAAAGACATTGTGGAGGGAAACTGACGCAGAAGCAGCAAATGAGAGAGAAAAAAGAAGAGGCTGCTTTCCAAACGAGAGAGGGAGTGTTTTGAGATGCTATTTCGCTTCCATCTTACTTCTGGCTTTGATGCCAGCGATATTTTTGGATTGATTTACTTTTTCTTTTTTTAAGAAAAGAACTTTAATCCCACCCTGCAGTTTTTAGAAGGAAAAGGGTGGGTGGTGGAAACGAGGTCACCTAAAAATTGGATTTCACATGAACACGATCTGCATGTTGCTGGCTGACTTGGGTGAAATCATTTGCAAAGGGGATTGCCAGAAGTCAAGCTGAGAATCATGTATGTCGGTGTTAAATCAGAACAGGTGATGCTCCCGAAAAAGTCTGCCGAACAAATCCTTTTGGAACACGAATGACACCTTTGTCTGCCATGGATTGTGTTTTGTTTTTTGCATAATATCAAGGAATTAACATAATTAGCTCAGGAAGCAGAAGGCCCGTGAAAAGTTCACTGTGTGTTCTGCTCGGCTTGGAGCCGGAGTGAGGTTTAAGCTTTGGCCTGGAAGGGGAGCCGTTGCTTCTGCTTTTTTTGATTTAAGGAACCTCATCGTAAGGCTTAAATTTGCTAAGAGCGAAAGCCAAGCACCGTCTTTTTTTAGGCTGGCTGTGTGCTCCTTTCTGTGTTTATCACCAGATTCATGCATCCCACACATTGCATGAGTAAACAGCCTGCAACTGCGGGAACAGAGGATTAGTTTTTATTTCTTGTTGTTTCTTTTCTTTTTCCAAACCATGTGTATAGACCTTTTTTTTTGGTAGCCAAATAAATCATTAATACTCTTTTCATATTTTGGATTCTGGGGTAGGGTGAGTAAGGATAGCACTATGAAGCACCACAACCAACAGCAGTGGTTTAAAAAAAAACCCAACCAATTCCTGTATTTTTCCATGTATAAGATGCCCCCATGTATAACCCCCCCCCACTTTTCTAACACAAAATTAAGAAATCTAAGCCCCTGCCCCCCACGCATGGAGCTCGCTCCCCCCAACCCCAAAAAGGTTGGGGACCGCTGCTCTAAAGCATACTGGGGACCACAAATGGCCATCTAGGTTTACCTGAGACCATCTTGGTTGGATAGTTTTCTAAAAAGGTTGAAAACGTCCCCCACCCAGACTTAAACTTCATTAGCTTCAATTACAATCTGCTGGCATTTCTGTTCCCCTCCTGTTTTGCTTTCAGCCCCCCCTCCGTGAAATGTTCTTCCTTCACCCTGACCCAGGACCCTTTATTTAACATGAGATTTTTAAAGAGGTTGCATGCCCTCGGTTTAAAGATCAGCGCGCCGGGGTTGCCACGCATGATATTTTAATGCCAGCTTCCACAGAAAGCAAGAGTAGTGTTGTAAGCGTCAGGACTGAGAGAAATGGGGGTGGCGGTTGGAGGCCATTCCCAGGAGGGAGCCCCACTGAAATCAGTGGGGCCTGCTTAGGTTTAAACTTAGGGAGGGAATATCGCGCAGCAAAAGTGACACCCATCTTCCTGTGTCTCGTCAGGCCTCTGTCTCCTTATTCCCCCCCCCCTGTTGATTCTCTTCTTATCCGAGGGCTTTAATGGATAAAGAAGTGGCATCTTTTTGGGTGGGACCAGGAGGTGGGAGACGGGGAGCCTGCAAAATTCTGTGCCGTCGGTGGTGGGAGGTGGTGCGTTGGGCCTGCGGACTCCATTTTGCCCACGGTTGGCTCACAAACAAAGCGATGAAAAATGTTGCTAGGGAAAAAAAATCGAAAACTTTCAAATCTATTTTTTTTCCAAATTTTTTCAATCTTTTTTTAAAAAAATGTCAATTTCAAATTCTGCTCCAGGGTCTTGTTTTCTGATCCTCACAACATGCACTAACAACAACAACAACAACAACAACAACAACAACAACAACAACAACAACAACAACAACAACAACAACAACAACAACAACAACAACAACAACAACAACAACAACAACAACAACAGTTAAGTCTCCGAAGCAGCTTAGAAACCCTTTTGTCAGTTTGTTCCTGAACGGCAGGAACCTTCTGATTCAGGAAGGAGGGGGGAAAAGTACGGCAGAAAATCCCCCAAACAAAAGAAAAGCAAAAACTCAACGTTTTCCCCAGGGATATTTAATAGGAGAGGTAACAGTTCTCTCTTCCTGTACAACTCCATAACTATTTTTGTGTTTCTAAGCAGCAGTTTCTCATGTTTTTAATGATTTCTTTACTATTTTGAAGGCTTGTTGTGTTTACCTCTGGGCCCATGCAGATGGCTGGGTAGGTTTTTATCCCATCCCGCAGAATAACAGTGGCCACATCCAAGTTTCCTCGCTTCTCAGGGGTCTCTCTCCATCATCCCGAGATGCCAGTGCTGTGTTGTCCTCTCCCTTGTGAACAAACCTATAATTTGAAAAAGCATTGATGTCCCTTGTTATTGTTTACAGCGATCAAGTTACTTCTGACCTCATGCAATCGTGACCTCCAAATGTTCCTTATCTGTGAAGTGAAACCGGTGTGTGTTGTGTGTTTCTTGCAGTGCCATTAATCAGCCTGCTTCCTCTTCAAAAGCTTTGAAACAAAAACATTTTAGAACAAACAAATAGGGGGGAAAAAAATACAAACACACAAGTGTTTTTGGCCAGAACTGGGTTTCTGTCCTGTTGCCGATGACCCCTTTTGTCCCCCTTGAGTGCTGTTTCTATAGTTTTCGGATCTGCTTCTCTCTTCGTCCTGCTTCTGGTCACCGTGGTGTCGTAGAGCTGTGCGGAGCACGCTTTGCTCGGGCTTGTTTCCGAATTAACTAGCTTGTAGCTGGGATAATCTGATTTGTCATGCTGTAGCAGGAGAAGGATGCTGAATGCTAATATTTCGGGCTTGTTCTCTTATTTTCCTGATACACTTGGGCAGCAAAAAAAAAATAAGAGGGGGAAAAATAGACCTTCTTCTTTCCAACATGTTGTTACGAAACACACACAAACCAGTCTGGAAACTTTTGAGCACTTTGGGGTGGTCTGTGTGAGGCCAGGATTTTTTATTTGCAGATTCTTTAGGGAAAGTCAACCAGTCAGTTGCAGGACTCACTGGTGGGGTGAGAAGCGCCTCTTGTTTTCTTCCCCATGCCTGATTTTTTTAAAGCTGCATTCCTTGGGAAAAATTAAAAAGACACAAACATCCGTATGAATTGCTCCATCTGTATTTCAGGCGAGAAGAGGGCATGAGGTGCAGGATCATGTTCTTCAAGCATTTCCCTGCAAATCAGTCTTTTTTTTGCAGCCCCTGAAAAATGTGACTTCTCGCTAACTCCTCCAGCTTTTCCTGAAAGAAAGCCACGATAGGGAGAATCACTACGGCCTGTTGCCTTTTCCCCCCTTGATCCGATGAGAAATGTCAGGGTTTGCCAAGTTAGAATGATCCTTCTTTCACTTCCCAACATTACTCCCAAAGGCAGTCCTGAGGTTTCAGTGCATCTCGAAACACGATCAAAGAAAAGAGCAGGTTGTCCGATTCCTTTTTCGCTTCGCACAAGGTGCCTCCCTGGAAAGAAAGAACAAAGGAAAATCTTTTAAAAAGTGGGATGAGATTGAAAACATGGCTGGCAGAGACAATAACTGCAAACAGCCAGAGGGTATTTCCTCTTGGAAGCGGGCTTTGGAGCTGTTTCTCCAGCGGTGAACATGCTTCTCAGCAGTAGGAGTTGCAGATGCTCAAAAGGCATCTTTTGAGGCCTGGAGACCCAGGAAGCATCATTAGCCCTGGAATGATTCTTGCATCCAAAACCCAGCTGTCTTTCATCTCCCACTGCCCCCACGCCATCTTGGTGTGCACAAGTTAAGTTTGTTTTTTTCCCTCTCCCAGTGGGGAGGCATTGTGTCCTTTTATCCCAGAGGTGGTAAAATAAGGTGGATGAGATGAGAAAGAGGGAAGGGCAGCAGGACCGTCTGCTTTCAAAGACTCATCGAATCGTGATAGGGTCGGAAGGGACCTTGGAGGTCATCTAGCCCAACCCCCTGCCCAAGACATGAGACTTCAGACCATCCTGGACCTCATAACCTCCTGGACCGATGGCTGTCCAATCTTTTCTTGAAGACCTCCAGCGATGGGGCGTCCACAACGTCGGGAGGCAAGCTGTTTCCCCTCCTTTATCAGGAAATTCCTCATTTCCAGGTTGGATCTCCCTCCCACGAGATCCCCTGTAACCGAGGAGGTCAACGAGAGCTTAAGTGGGGGGCTGAAGGCAGGCCAGGTTGATCTAGAAAGGTTCCTTTCCTAAAACCAATGGGATTCTGGTGGCGTTTCTCCTAAAAAAAGGAATTAAAATGGAAAGAAGGCGAACTTCAGTTTCTGATCATGTATGGTTCCCATTGGCTTTTTCAAACCCCAGTCCCACCGGTCGTAATCCAGCACCCCGGCCACAACGCTAGTTTTCATATACTTGCCGGAGACTCTGGGAAATAATAATTTTTTTAAAAAGCGCTCAAAAGAGGAAAAACGGCAAACGTAATTAATCCCCTGAATCTAGGTCAGTTGTGTCCACTAGCCGACTCCCAAGAAAATTGGCGAAGGCTTTCTTTTCTTGATAAAAATCGTCTACAACACAGTGGGGAGATTTCTAATTGGTGTGTAATTTGGTCTAAAGTTGTCTAACTGGTGTTTCTCCCCCCCTTTCCCTCCCTCCTCCAGTTTCCGTTTGGTCGCCGTTTGCCCTGTGATATTTACTGGCACGCTGTGTCGTTTCACGATAACGCCATCGACTCGGGCCTCGTCAACAAATTTCCAGGTAATGAAACCTAGTGCTGCTCATTAGAAAATATGGCGAGTGAGCTTGTTGTGTCTCTCTCTCTCTCTCGCCTCCAACCTGGGGTCCAAACCAGGAGAAATTCATTTTTTTCCCTTTGTGGAAGGTGGTTTGTATAGGAGGCATCCTTATCCTGCGTCATCAGGCCCAGTGCGGGAATCGAACTCACAACCTTGGGCTCCACAGCCAATAGTTAATGCAGCACTTCCTCGGAGCCAGATCTGGTGCTCCGACGTCTGCCGGTGGTTGTTTTCTCCAGGAAGGGTACGGAAAGCAAAGTTCCTCTGATTAAATTACTGCTTTCTAAATATTGAGGAGCTTAAGCCAACCTTTCCCTGAAATATGAGGGCTGTTGAGCCTTTCTAAACTCCCTTATTTTCTTCTTTAATCCCCTCCTGTATCCAGCTAAGTAAGAGCTCAGGGCTGAGAAATTGACTCACCGACGTGTCTCTCTCTCTCTGCTTCTCATTTATTACTACCCTCTGCAAAAAGCTATATGAAAGTGTTCCCCGGGAACAACGTGGGCGCGAGGGTTTGCCCTCTCCCTGGCCAGACTAAATTAAACAAACGTCAGAGCTTGGTTTTATGTACTGGTTGCAGAGCCTCTCAGGTGGATCTCAAGAGTTTCTCCCAGGGCCGGCTCTACCAGTGGGCAAAAGGAGGTGGTTGCCTCAAGCAGCAGGCGCTCGGAGACTGTACGGCTAATATAACCGCCTTTGAACTGCACAGCTGGAAGGGACCCCTAAGGATTATCTAGTCAAGCCCCTGTCAAGGAGGCACAGTGGGGGAATGCCAGCCGGAGACCTAAGCCACTGAGCTATCCAGCAGCTCTGAATGTAGAGGGGATGGGAGAGGAGGGCATCTCACTCTTTGCTTCAGGGAACACCATCACCCTATTCAGGTGCACGAAGAACAGGTGGGATTTTGTAAGTGAAAGCCGTAACCATCGACATTCAGTGCAGTCCTGTGCGCATTTATTCAGAGGTTCCCTGAAGACTTCGGCCCAGCTGACTCTTGAGTGTGTCTCTGACTCTCTTACCACCCGGCCGCAATCTCTGTCTTTTGATGTCTATACTTTGATGCCACTTATAAATCTTGGCCATGTTCTGTCTCCCCTCCTCTTACGACTGATGAAGTGGACTTGTCAAGGAAAGCTCCCTTTAAAAAAAATTAGAAAACTTTGTCTTTGAAGGGGCCACCCTTCAAAAATAACTTTTTGTTATTGTTCCGTTCCCATCTATCCTGACTCTTGGGTGAGCGTTGTACAGAACCGTAGCCTCAAAAATCAACCTCGAGGAGGGTGGGTCCTCGGGGGGGGGATGCTTGCAGTGTTACTCCCCCCCCCAGTGAAGAAAGAGGCCTGTTTTGCAGGTCTTCTTGAACTTCTGAATAACCCAAGCCTCAGGATTGCATCTTGCGCACCCACAGTGCCTTCCCCACTTCCCGGAGAAGGGCTGCTGGGCAGGGGGGGGGGCTCTCATCTGTTTCAGAGTCTAGCCCTGTCTGACGTCCCTGGAGTCTCCCGCTGATGGCTTCACCCTCTTCCTTCTCTGGGCAGGGGGGGGGGACTCCTTTGGGAATCCGCTGCCAAAGGCCAGTCAAGCTGGGGACCATGGGGGTCAGAGTCCACCGAGTGTCGGAAGAGTTGTTTCAGAGTCTAGCCCTGTCTGACATCCCTGGAGTCTCCCGCTGACAGCTTCACCCTCTTCCTTCTCCCCCCAGGGATGGCGGAAATGGTGCGGAAGATTACTCTGAGCCGGGCTATGAGGACCATGCAGGAGCTTTTCCCCGACGAGTATGACTTTTACCCGCGCTCTTGGATCCTGCCCGAGGAGCTGGCCATCTTCCTGACAGAGGTTGGTGTCCTTTCCCCTCTCCACCCTTTCCTGGAAAAAAGGTCCCAATCCAAGGCCCCACCGCTTGGAAGAGCCTAGAAGATGCGTACACGCACACACGCATGCACGCACACAAACCCCCACATGCTCTGCCAAAAAAACCCACAACGTTCTCCTGCTTTCCTGGGTTTCTTTGGAATTAGGGACGGGAACTTGGTTCCATTTTCTCCCCTTGCATTTGCTTCCTGTCCCTCTTTCGAATCGTGCTGCATTTTTCTCCCCTCCCGTGTTAAAATCCACAGATAAGGTTTCTTTATTGTGTGCCAATGTCTGAGTTCCCCCGATGACAACTCAAAGAAAGGCAGTTACACGGAAGCAAAGTGTCTGTATGTTTCTAGTCCTCAGTGTGGGGATCAGGACTTGGGCGCCGTTCAGAGGTTGACCCATGCTAGATCTTGCATTTTGTCTTGGGGGCCAGGAGGACAACCAGGTGGGTGTGTTTTGTGTCCCTGGCCAAGAGCCGGTGACATTTAGATGGGGTCCCACCCACCCCATAAAAGTAGCTATAAGTTACTTTTGGAAAATCAGGAAATTAATTGCTTGGGGTTTTTTTTAAAGACATTGGAACTGCCTTGGTGGTCACTGATGCTTTTTCACACCTTGGATTTATAGCTGTAGCAAAATACTTTTCAAAATCTCTGGGGAGGCCAGAGGGTAGATAGAGGCATTCGTCTGTTTCAGAAAACAACAACCCGGAGTGGGTCCTGAAAAGCTACCGAATTTTACTTGTAACCAGCTTTTATGGGCTGGCGTCTGTGTAACCTTCTGCCACTGGAAAGTGGCTGAGAATGGCTGATTTGGACACCTCCCCAGTGGGGGTGCTTTGGCTGGACAGGGCCGTCCCCACCCAAGCAGGCTGCTGTTATGGGCAGCTTCCCGAATAAGAGCCTGCCCCACTTGCAAAACCCTTTATCTGTGCCCCGTATCCTCGATAAAGACACCCATGTTCCACTTCAGGGAACAACAGATGGCCGATTGAACAGCCTGTACTTATTTATTTATTTATTGAATTTATATCCTGCCTATCTAGACAATTACGACCACTCTAAGCAGTCGTAATTATGATCCTCCATCCATGCCTGAGAGGGAAATGGAATTCAGGACCTCGGGAGGAGAGGGTGAGCCCTCCAATACCGGAGGCCTTTAAGATAAAATCGGACCCCCCCCTGTCCTATCTGCTTTGACGTGGATCCTGCCTTGAGCCAAGGGGGGTTGGACTTGATGGCCTTCGAGGCTCCCTTCCAACTCTGTTATTTTAGGATTCTACGCTCGCTTTGTTACCAAGTCCCAACATTTAAAGCCACTTTGACGACTTGATGGCCTTCGAGGGCCCCTTCCAATTCTGTTATTTTAGAATTCTACGCTCGCTTTGTTACCAAATCCCAACATTTAAAGCCACTTTGATCAACAACGAGAGGGTGGGAAACTCCTCCGTCTCATCAAGTTTTGATGGAGTAGGAGAGATGTCAGGGAGGAACTTCAGCCGGCATTTCGCAGGTTTCAACCCCATCTTCCCCACCTCCATTGGACGCTCACCCCTCTGAGTCCGGGGGGGGGCAAACAGAGGAAGAGGTCGATTTTTTTTTTATTATCTATAAAAAATGTGACTCGGTCTACCCCGTTTCTAGAAAGGTTGTGGTTGGAGGTAAAGTGAGACCACCCACCAGGTTTTACAGCAGGGGCTTAGATGAAAGCCCCCCCCGCCCAAATCTCTGCTAGCTCTTCTTATTCTTCTAGTGTCCCATTTGGGTTATTTCCACTGTGTGTCCACGAGGGGGCGACACACTTCACGCTAAAGTTCCCGTCCTAGAAAAGTGTTGTGAGATTTCGCGGATCACTTCCTCAGGTGTAAGGATGTAGGACGACAAGCCGATGATCAATATTGTGATATTCCCCGTTACTATGTGTGGAAACGAAAGCTGAGCAGCAAAGGAAGAGAGGAGAAAAGATAACTCCCCCTTGAAATGTGGGGTTGAAGGAGTGCCTTGGGCCACAAAAGCAAAAAAAGAGGACATGATGATCAAGTCAAGCCTGAACTCCTTCTAGAAAGTAAGATGAAGAAACTGAGACCTGTCACACTTTTTTTTTTTGCATGATGGTAAGACTCCCAGAAAAGACAATCGTGCTGGGAAAAGTTGAAGGCAGCAGGAAGAGAGGAGGAGACCGAAGAGGATTTCTGTCAAGGAGGCTGCAGGCTTGGCTTTGCAAGACCTGAGCAGGGGCCCTGAATGACTAGACTTTGTGGAGGTCATCAAGACAGAGGGCCGCCCTCGGTCGAAGGGATTCAGCAGCAAAACGCAGCCACCAAAACACTGAACGAGCTTGAGGTTGTGTTTTTTTTTGACGTTCCCTGTTTTTGTTTCCTCCCTAGATCCACATGATCAAGGAGACCAACCCCACGTGGAAGCCCACCTTCATTGTGAAACCGGACGGAGGGTGTCAGGGGGACGGGATTTACCTCATCAAAGACCCCAGCGATGTCCGGATGACCGGGACCCTCCAGACCAGGCCTTCTGTGGTCCAGGAATATATCTCCAAGCCGCTGCTGATTGACAAGCTCAAGTTCGACATCCGTCTGTACGTCCTGCTGAAATCTTTGCAGCCCCTGGAAGTTTACGTGGCCAAAGACGGACTCTGCCGGTTCTGCACGGAGCCCTACCAGGAGCCGACGCTCAAGAACCTTCACCAGGTCTTCATGCACCTCACCAACTATTCCCTCAACATCCACAGCGGGAATTTCGTCCACTCCGACAGCGGCAACACGGGCAGCAAACGGACGTTTTCCAGCATCCTTGACCGGCTCTCTTCCGGTGGGATTGACGTCCGGAAGGTCTGGTCGGACATCATTTCCCTGGTCATCAAGACCGTGATCGCCATGGTCCCTGACTTGAAAGTTTACTACCATTCTGACATCCCTCCTGGGAAGCCGGGACCCTCCTGTTTCCAGGTAAACTCTCTGCTGTTTGACGAGGCGTTGAAGCCGCTCCCAGTAAACACACATAGACCCCATTGCTTTTTGGGATAAACAGTCTCTCTCGTGACCCTAAAAAGCCGGAGTAGGAGAAGGCTGGCTTCCAGATGTTGCTACGATAGTAGCAGCATCTGGAGAAATCGGTGCAGAAGAGAGGCGTCAGTGGTCAAATCCTGTTGAAAGAGATGAGACTTAGGTGTGTCACAACAAAGCCCCTCCCACTGGGATGGGATTTCTTCATTCTTGGTTGCCGGGTGTACGCGCCTTCAAAGAAGAGTCCTCAGAGATGCGTCGATTATCTGTCAATTTATTTATTTATTTTTGGGTGTGAAGGGGAGGAAAGGAAAATGCTGTTGATGTTTCTTCTCCAAAGATTTTAGGGTTTGACATTCTGCTGATGAGGAACCTGAAGCCGATTCTGCTGGAGGTCAACGCTAATCCCAGCATGAAGATCGATTACGAGAAAGAGGTGGGCCCCTTTCTGTGTAGCACGGCAAAGGAGACCAGATCTGGTAGATGTACGATGCATGGATGATGATGATGACTAAAAAATACCAGACAATCAATCAAAATTATAAAAAACATTGACTGGCATCATATAACTGATACAAGTTTTAATTAAAAAACTAAGTAGCTGTTAAATATTGGTGCAATATGTATGCTGTTCCTAATATTGCCATTTTTTTGCAGCTCTGATGGTATGATTTCTGAGATCGTCAACTGCTTATTGCATTGTGCAAAATTTCTCGATATTTTTTCCCAAAGCCCCAATGACTATGGGGATCACTGAAGTGTGTGTTTCATCCACAAGCGAGATGTTTCGATGGCCAGGTCTCTGTATTTGTTAGTTTTTCCAATTCTTTATCTAGTATCCTGCGGAATTGCAATGTCAAGGATCCGTACATTTTTTTGTTCTATTACTACTATGTCTGATGTGTTATGTTTAACGTGTCTGTCCGTTTGGATCCAGAAATCCCACAAGATCTTGAATTTGCTGACACTTTCTCTACTTGATGTTCCCAGGGATTTTTGAAGGCTGGGGTTTCAAATTGCCTAGCTTGTTTCTGGTTAGAAACAGTTTTCCCAAAGGTCCCAAACATCATTATGCGAAAATCCCCCATAGGAAACATCGTTAGGTGAGGCGGCAAAATTTCCAGCAAAGGCCATCGTTATGCGAATTCATCGTTGAGCGAGGCACTCGTTAAGCGAGGCACCACTGTATGTGTTTTATCCAGTTCATCCATTTTTCTTCCCTTTCAATGGAATTTCCATAGAGACTGTATGTTTCTTAGCAATCAGAGGCTCAAATGAACCTCATGTGTAGCTCATAAAGCTCAGCACACACACAAAAAATCAAGATATGCAGTTGATGAAAGCCACATCCTTCCACCCCTAGAGAGAGAGTATGAGAGCACCCTTTTTAGAAAGATGCTAAGTGTCTGATCTAGGACTTTGGGCCTGGGGGAGATGTTGGCATTTTAGATCCTCAGTTTGCTTAAGTTTTTTTATTCCAAACAACCACTAGCAGAGGGATTTACATCAGGAAAAAACAGTGTGGTGATCCCAATCCAGTTTTAATAGAAAATTAAAAGAGAGGTGTGTGTCCATCTCATCTGGTATGATCCTAGGCCCTGGTTTTTAACAAAAGGGAGGTCTTAAGCAAATTTAAAGCACATTCATACATGCAAAGACATTTCTTCCCCCCCCCCCCTTTTTTTGATGTTCCTTCCCTGGACAGTCTGACCAGGTGGGATTCAGCATTGTTATATTTTGCTCTCAATCAAGGGCCTTGTTTATCCTCCTGAGCCTTTTAAAGGCCTAAATGGGTCCATGGTTTTATGACTAACTCTGATTGCTTTATGGATCTGTATTTTTTTTTATTGTCCTTTTTACCATTTGCAAACTTCTCGGGGAATCTTCATCCTTGAGAGCCTGGTATTTATTTATTTTACGATGTTTTCTGTAGTGCCTTCCAACCAGCGGCTCCCAGAGTGATTCTCGATAAACTCATTCAATAAAACTGCAATAAAAGCCGCGCAGTAAACTCAGACCGAAGCAAAGGCAAACACAACCCACCCCAAAAAAAAAATCCCTGTAGGGTAGAAAAAGCAGCTTTAAAAGAAATGCAGACAAAAAGTCAGGACTCAGGACTTCAAACGCCTGGTAAAATAAAATTAAAATGGCTTTACCGCTGTGGCTGCAGGCGCTGCTGCTGTTATTTCTTGTCTACCCTGCCCACTCCGATCCCTATGAATTGGTGCAATCCAGAAATGGGAAGCTGTGGCTTTCCACGTGTTATCGGACTATAAGCCCCATCTGCCCCAGCCTATGTTGAAGACTTCTGGAGCTGACCTCCCTGGAGGCCTGCATTCAGCCTCCCTCAATCTAAATCCTTTTAAAAATCGTAATATATATCCATCAGCATCCTTCTCGATCATATACAGAAAAATCCCTGTTTTTTTTTTCATACCAGGGAACATGGCTTGGGCAGATTTTTCTCCTTCTGTTTTCCCACACAGATAGACTGCTCAGTTCTCTGGAGGTTCCTTAGCTGAGCCCGTCTGACCCGTTTCTTTCTTGAAAGGGGTCAGTTGAGCCCGCTCTCTCTCTCTCTCTTGTTGGGCCTTGAGGAGGGAGTGTGGATAAAAGCCACGTGGATGCGTTGCCCCTTACACGCCTTCTCCTTTGGGTACCCCAAGGTTTCTCCGGGAGTCATCGAGTACCTCCCGAGCCCTGTGGACGAAGAGGTCAAGGTCGCTGTCATCCGTGACACCCTCCGATTGGTGGACCCCCACAAGAAGAAGAGACAGGAAGAGGCGCTGTGAGTACATCTTCTTCATTTTGGGTCCCCTCTTGGATTAACCTACTGACCGGGCAGAGAGAGAGAGAGAGAGAGAAAGTAAAAGCTGGAGTTCCTTCAGACTTTCTAAACATCTCTTAAAAGTTTCAAAGACAGAGATTTCTCCATTGTTTTTTAAAAAAAACACCCCCAAAGCAATGTTTCCGTGTAGTGTAATGAAGATGAGAGACCCAACTAATAACCTGACGTGTTCTGGAGAGTTACGCAGCACACGGTGAGTGTTATCTGTCGATACAGAGCTGTACATATTAATGTATTTTATTTTATTTGGAATCCCTTTTAAAGATCTGGCTGTTTATATTCAGTGGGTAGCCTGTAATAAATGGATTGGTTTGTGGGTTGGGGTTTTTCCTTCCACCTTCCAGCAGGGCTGTAAGCAGGCTGGCGCCCTGTGAAAACAGAAGTAGTGACTCTGGAAACTTCTGTTTAAAAATTTAGACTTAAGTTGTTTCAGGAAGTCAGTTCAGACATGGTTCGGGAATAATCATTTCAAAAAGCCCCAAACTTAGTTAGAGAACCCCCTAAGCCTGGTTTCCCTACCATGTAAGGGTCTCTCTTTCTTTTCTCACCCCAATGCAAGCTCTTTGAGTCCCGCTTCCCTCTTTCCCTGACATTTCCCTCCCTCTACTGCACGCCTTCCATCTCCCACCTTGCCGTGTTTTCATTTTAATAGCTCCCTCTCATATGAGATCCGAGAGGCTTTGTAATTCGCGCTTTATGTTCTACATATTTTTCGATTCCAGGACATCATCATGTCCGACTCTTGAAAATCCCAGCAGTGGTGGATTTACATTTCTGCTCCAAATGGAGGAACGGAAAGGCGGTGGACTGAGGGCCCTCGGTGATGAATTGCTTATCTCATCCCGGCTGAAAGGCGTGGAAATTGCATGTTAAAAATTGGTCCCTTCTTTGGAGAGAATAAATATGGCCTTTCAAGAGAACCTCTCTCTTTCGCTCCCCCTCTCTCCCCCCCCTCTGTGTGCGATGTAGCAGTAGGCAACATAAAAGACATTGGACAGAACCCAAATCTCATCCAAAGTGAAATACATACCATTTCCTGGAAATGAAGTCAGAATTGCTGCTCGCTCGCTCTCTCTCTCTCGGAACATGGCTAGGATAAAAGGGTGCAGGTTATAAAGCCTTTGTTGCAAATCCTTTATGCTGTAGATTTCATACCTCCGCAGCAAAAACAAAGGTGTGTGTTCAGGATGCTGCCAGCTCCCCCTCTCCCTTGGTAGCTTACCCCCTTAAAACTGATAGAAAAATTACCTTTTCTGGACTTCCATTAGGCATCCTTCAGTCTCGAGAGACTATGGGAACATGCTCTGTATGGAGGACTAGGAACAGCGTCTAGTGTGGCTGAGAAGGCCAATTCGAGAGTAAAAATCCCTTCCAAGCAGAAGGCAAATACAATCTGTCCCCTGTCCAGCTCCCTGATTTTGCAGCTTTCAGGACGGCCTCTTTGCCTCGGCCTGCTGGACAAGGGTCTCTTCAAATTGGGAGAGGCCGTGATGCACCGCCTGCCTCCAGGCTGAACACTCAGATGTCAGGGTTTCCCATCCACTGAGGTCCATTCCTAAGGCCTTCAAATCCCGCTTGCTTGCAGATGTCCTTGTATCGCAGCTGTGGTCTCTCTTGGGGGGGGGGAATTTCCCTGCACTAATTCTCCATACAGGAGATCTTTTGTGGCAGGAAGGGATGGACTGGCATGTCCAGAACCCGGGACAGAAGAACTTCCACTGCAACATTTTGTTGCCGTCTCCTCTAGTACATCTTAGAGCCTGATTTCGCCCTTGCCCTAAAAGTCCAGGGATCTCTCTTGTTGCTGCGAGTGGCAGATATACAGCCGCCTGACAGGTAAAGCTTTCAGCTCATAGGGTTGGTATGATCTGCCGGTAATTAGCCCCTCAGTTAAAACAAATGAACTGTCAAAACGAAAGGAAACCTTCTAAAGAGTTACCACCCTAAAGCTTCTCATTGTGTGGGAAGGGAGAAAAATATATTAATAGCTCAGAGAAATACTCTGTCATCTTTTATAGAGGTGTGATATGTGTCTCTTCTGAGACTTTTACATGGAGTAGAATCCTACTGAACCTTCTAAAGAGTTACCACCCTAAAGCTTCTCATTGTGTGGGAAGGGAGGAAAATATATTAATAGCTCAGAGAAATATTCTGTCATCTTTTATAGAGGTGTGATATGTGTCTCTTGTGAGACTTATCTTTTACATCGAGTAGAATCCTACTTTGATCTCTCTGTCTGCCAGATCCCTAGATTGCTTGGAAGTCGATTTATTTCTAGCAGATTTAAATCAGTTTTGGCCTCTACACAGCTGAAATCGACTCATTTCCACAAAACGGTGTTGAACGGAATAAATTTCAGAAGTGAGGTATTTTGCTTCTTCTGGCCAGCTGAAAAATCCTCGCGTTGCGACTCGTATCGATTGATTTCACCCTAGTGTTTTGCGGACGATAAAATCTAAATCGGTTTAAAATGATGCTTAAAGGCGGTTCATACTGTGAACGCAGCTAAGCTTCTAAAATCAATTCAGTTCAATGCTGTTTTGTGGAAAGGAGTTGATTTCATGAGTGTAGAAGCCAAAACTGGTTTAAATCACTGGAAATAAATCGATCTCCATTCAGTGCATATGAACACAGCCACCGGTTTAAATCCCATGTGACTTGAACCAGATTTTGTGTTTTTTTAAATTCTGAAAATAAATCAGTTCAAATGGCCATTGTGACCACCGTCTTAGATTGGAAATCTTCTCAGACACTAGTTTGTCAAACTAAGTTATTTTTGGTTCACCAGTAACAGAAGCTCCAGTGACCTCCGCTTTCCCCTTTGTAATGCATAGAATCAGGCCCATCTTACAAAGAGGAGGCTAAGATGCAGGGAACCCCACTCGTAACCCCTCCAAAACACCCAGGTATTGGAATTTCTTTTATAAGCCTTGTGGCCGGTTGGTTTCCAACCGAATTTCGCCCGGTGCCTCCCCGGGAACAGAACAATTTTGAACAACGAAACCTGAAGTCACCAACTGTGGCATTCCAGTTCTGATATTTCATGTCATTTGGAAATCCCAATGAAATCTCCCAGTGAACCTGTGTTTGGAGAAAGGGGGAGAATGCCAGCATTATAGATAGCAAAACAGCCATCTGTGCTCCTTCAGGCCTGGAGGACGGGCATTTTATTCCCTTAACTAAGGATCTTTCATCAGGCCGATTTGATCCAGCTGGATTGAGGACAGGATGAGCTGTAGGGGTGGTGTCCCTTCCATACATTGCAGAGGCCAGACTTCACAGCTGGTAGTTTTATTCAAAGTTTTGTTGGGGTTCTGGGGTTAAAAAAAATCAGACTTTTCTGCCACCAGGATCTCTTCTGCCAGCCTGGTGTTTAATTGGGAGCTGCGTGTGCTGGTTTTTGCTCGTGTGCATGCCCAGTGACTTTTCGACAATCCTTTCTGTATCATCCTGGGCTCTTTTCCTGTAGCGCTAATGACTTCTGCTTCCCTGCCATGCCGAAAGGAAATATTTGAGTCTTGCTTTGTTTGCGCTAATTAGCTTGGAGAAAAATTGGGAGAGGTTTTCTCTCTCCCCAATCCGCACCTTCTCCTTCTGTTTTGCTCCCCCTCCCCCTCCCTGACAGGTATTGATCGAGGGCAGGTTAGCAGGGCGGTAATGAATTAGTCAGTCAGTAAAATCAGTAGAGGATCGTGCCTGGTTGCATTTCTTATTAAAAACCTAGCATCTGAGTTTGGTTTCTTTCTCCCTTGTTTTCCCTCCCAGTTCCTCTTGCCTTTTGCGTTGAAGTGGTCTCCCAAACACTGCTGGACTACAGGTCCCATGATCCCTTGTTTGGCAGCTGGGATTTCTGAGAATTGTAGTCCAGCAGTGTTTGGGGACTGTGGTTGGGAACCACTGCTCTACAGGGCCACTTCCTGGTTCCTTGTCATCCAAATCAGCTTCTCTTCAGGACCAAGGACAGCTCCCTGGGAAAGCAGGCGTTGATTCTGAGGTTCTGGTGAAGTTTGACGAAACTCTTCCGTACCCAGGAGACCTGCCTTATATGGAGCCCATGTGGGGGTCTAAAAAGGGGAAGCTGCAGGCGTTGATTCTGAGGTTCTGGTGAAGTCTGATGAAATTCTAGTGTATCTAGGAAAGAACTCAGTGGATCGGAGACCTGCCTCATATGGAGTCCATGTGGGGGGTCTAAAAAGGGGAAGCTATACCTTGAAGCTGTGGGTCTTAGAAGCGCTCCACTTTTGGAGAGCATCAGGAGGGAGAACCGACACATGCTGTAGCTGCCTTGAAAATATACTGGAGCTGAGTCACAAATCATGGCACGCTCCTACAATAATTGGCTTGTTCTGAGTTGCCTTTTCGCTCTTAGCTTTGTCCTCAGCTTGTTATCAAGTTGTCCAATTAGAGAACTGGCCCCTGTATATGTGTGTGTGTGTGTTTTGAAAGCGACGATGCTTAGCACGTTTTCTCTCTGCCACAGCTGTCTGTTCGTTCCCCTTTTTCTGGCACAAAATGAGATCCTTTTAGAAAAAGGTCCCCCCCTTCTTTTTAAAGTGTGTAATATCTGGAGAGGACACTGTCACCTCCTTAGCTGGTCGGCTGCTTTTCATCTCGAGAGGAGAGGAAAGCGTTTGAAGCCCATCACCTCTCTCCAGGCTCCCACGATGGAGCACATCCTCTTGAGCAGCGCGGGAAATGTTGACCAGCTTACTCTTGAACTGAGGGGCTCCAGATGACCCGGGGCTTTTTTTAAAAAAAAACTTGCAACAGCTCAGTAATATTCCAGGTGGGGAGCAGGGAGAAGAGAAGGAGAGAGAAAAAATGGAAGTTGTCTTCTCTAGAAGTTCTGCTACTGAGTTCCTTTCAACTGGAAATGTGGAGTGTTGGACCCAGACGTCCTTCATGTAAAACAAGGGTAATACACATTAATAAACTACAATGTAAAAATTACATTTTGTGTACACAAACCACATTTAAAACACACACACACACCCTGGGGACCACTAGATCTTACCCCAATTTTCCCCCCTCCTTATACCTCACCTTCAATGCAACATTTAATGACGCCATATCCCTTCCAAAAATATGTATAATCTTGATTCGGCTTTTCCCTTCCCCTTTACTCAATAAATTCATCCCATATCTCATTAAATCTATTTGTCTTTATCTCTCCTGTTTTGAACTTCATTTCTGAGGTCCATTTATCATTAATTGCAATATTCCAAATTTCATTATGCCGTCTATGCAATTGAAAAACCCAATTTTGCTTCCTTTTTTTTTTGCGATGAGCAGCCGAGCTGCTGTTAACAGACGTGTCTCGTACCATCAGTCTGAAGCAGAGTTACTTTCTCAAAGTAATTCGTTGATCCTGCTTTGTTACAGTGTTTTAAAAAATTAATCAACATTTTTATTGCTATGAGTGCCATCAGGTTGCTCCCAGTTTGTGGCAACCCTATAAATTCATGATCTCTGGAAGTTCCTGCCATTGACAGTCCTGTCCTGCTGAGGTCTTGAAAACTCAAGACTATGGGTTTCTTTACTGAGTCAAATTATCACACATTGGGTCCTCCTCTTTTCCTACTGCCGTCCACTTTTCCTAATGTTTAATTTTCTCCAGTGAGTTTTGTCTTCTTTCAATATCCCCCAAAGTGTGGTGGCTTCAGTTTTAGCCCTTTTTGTTTTCAATGGGTGTTTGATAGTCGTTATTTATTGCCATATTGATAAGTTGCTTCTGGTCCTTTGAAAAAAACACCTTGATAAGAAAATGGCGTAAAACTAGAAAAAGTCCTATGAAACATCTCTGGAAACCCCTTCAAAGATAACTTTGAAATCTGGATTGTCCCGTAAATTGCGTTGTAAGCTGCCTCAGTTCCCAATTTTGGGAGAAAGACATCCTATAAGAGAAAAACATGCAAAACATAACATACGGGAAAACTTTACTCGTTTTACCTGTAAAGTAGCTTTGTTCCCGATGTTCATTTTTGTTGTGTGTATGGTTTAGCTTTGCAAATACTCTCTTTTGTGCAGGGAAAAACCTGCCACTTGTAACAGTCTTTTCTGTTTTGCCCAGCAAATTACTCCTTTGTTCCTTGCCTGGCTGCAAAGAAAGCCAAAGGGGTGAGCAGCTGTTTCAGGGAACAGCCCTGGCTCTTTTTTATTTATAAGGCTGAAGTACTTACTGTTCTTCTCCTGCCTCTTACATTTCTAGTGTGTTTTGTTCGTTAGTCCTCTGCTGCGGATGCGTGGCAGGATTCGGCTGCTGACGAATCTTATTCCCTTGCAACTCTCCAGCCCCCCTGATGGGGACTTGGCAGGCTGGCCGCGTCTTTCTTCTGCAAGGCGGGACACCGGCTTGCTTTGAGGCCGGAAGGATAAGAGCTTGGCAGAGCATCGCACGATTCAAACGCACGATTGTCTATTCCACAGTATGCTTTGATTGGTTAAAACCCTCAACCTGCCGGTGAGAAACCTTGGGCAGCTTAACTGGTGGGAGCAAATTTCACCGGGCGAATGGAGAAGGATGCTGGAAGTTTTCGCTAGCAGGACTGGAGACCAACGGTTTAGTGGAGTTGGGGGGCCATACGAGACTGAACCCTCTCCCCCCCAGACTGTATTCCTCTGTCCTCAAAGCAGTTGGGATCTCCCCAGGAGCAGCATCTTGTTGCCAGCTTTCCATGCTGCAATGCAAAGTATTGGAAGACACTTCTGTCTTGATCACGTAGCTAAGAGCCGTAACCCTTACAAAAGCCCTGCTCCTCCCAATCCAGCTACCACATTTTGGGACTTTGAGTGGAAAGTGCTATGATGAGCTTTTTCACTTCACTGCTTGTCTCCTGCCGGTTTCTGTCCCCAGCATTTAATGCTCAGGTATACTATTTCTTGCTATGGAGGCTCCATAGAGCCAATCTGGCTAGCAGTGGCCAAGGAACCTTTCTGTCCTCGAGAACAGCTCCCATTCGTTCTTCAGCAAACATCAGTGTCAATCCAAAAAATCTCTCCGGTTTTTATTACCCGGCTGCTGTTGAGCCTGGTGAGAGATTAGGAGAAGATCTTTTTCCATTAAGTGAAAATTAACTTAATCATCAGCTAGGAGAGGTAAAGCCGCATAAACCCATGCTCAAAATTAAAAGTCCGTTTAAAAACTTGGCTCGTGTTGGTGACGATCTAACACCACCTCTTCAAAGAGATTTTATCTGTCATGTCTGTTTTTCTAGATGGAACGTTAAATGTGTCTGGTGCAAAAGGATCGACCGGAACGGCAGTTAATTTCGAGTTCTAGCGATTCCTTCAAAAACACACGCGCCCCTATAACTACTTTTTGGAACTTTGGAACTGTAGTTCACCACTGAGGGAAAGTAACTTTCTGCTCCCTGCTGCCAAAGAACTGGCAATCCAGTTTTGCTTCTTGTTTATGCAAGCTGCGCTTTTTAACGATGGGGCCTATCTAACGAGCCACCGGCCAGTAATCACTCTGCTTAGCCAGCCCGGAGAGCCAGAGGTACAGCTCGCCAGGTGCTGGCGGATGACCCCTCAGGCCTCGTGTGTGATCACCGCTCAGAGAACGTGACTGTTGTCAATTAGAACCTGGTTGTGGACTTGCAGGTGGTGGCCGTGAGAAAAAAAAAACAAAATGTAACTTTTGCCAGGACTCTGAGATAGCCTGTTCTGTCTCGGACCTTGTTTTGGGTTAGGATAGAGATTAGTTTGATCCATTTAGCCTCAGCTAAATGTGTTTCAAGTGGCCGGAATCGCCTTGGTGAACGTGAGGCTGTTGGTGCAGCTTCACCTTTAATTAAAACTTTCCTGTGGTTCCCTCTCCACCCCTGCCTAGGCCCTGGGTTTCCTCTCTACTGGTCCTTTTTGAGCTGGAAAAGCTTTGGGATCCTCAGAGCGGGGCGAAGGGTAAGCCAGCCGTGCCCCAAAAATTGCACCCACCTCCCGTCCCAACACGGTCGAGGGCTTCTGGTGGATGACGCTACGGTCGCAAAGTGACTTGGTTACCCTTTTGTAGCAAAGCGACGCAGGGCTACGAACGAAGGGAGCCGTCATGCCCCTCGGTTGCTTGCGATGTGCCGTTTCCAAGCTTGCTTTAAGGCAGAGGACGGTTGGCTTAAAAACCTGTCCACCAGCCACAGCCCACTGCTTCTGCTTTTTTTTCCGAGTCCAAAAGGAAGTGGCCACTGCCTGGTTATAAGAACGGTAAATAAAACTAATAAAACTGCCCGCCTTTCCGCTCTCTCGACAGAAGCTAAGCTGTAAAAAGCAAGGATGTGGTGGTTAGTCTGTGCCTGACAATGGGCAGCCCCAGACCCAGCCAGGCTTTGAACTTGACAGCTGTGGTTGGAGCCCCCATTACATCCCCCACCACACCACACACCTCAGTTGTAAATCTCCCAGCCTTTAATTAGCACTTTAAAATGTAGCTGAGGGACCCCATAGCCTCCCACTCCCCAAAAACATGACATTAGCATAAAGATTAAGGCTACTCAGAAGGAAGAGGATACAGAGCAGACCAGAGAGGAAATGTGGACCCCCCCCAGAAAGCATTAATAAATTAGTAATCATGTATAAAAGATAAGCAGTGTTTTGAATCTCCATAAGCTTTGTTCCAATTGGAAGTCCTTCTCTTCGCGCCACCTCCACTCCCTCCCTTCTTCCTCCAAAAAGTCGTTAACATTTTCTCTATTGCCCATCTCCTCTGAAAGGCAATACCTATATGTCTCTTGAGTCCCAGAATTAAAGGCACCGGATGTATCTGGGGTCAGCTATTAGTAGGTAAACAGAGACCCTGCCTTCGCTTTTGGGGGCACCAGAAAGCCCGGCCTTGTACAGTGGTGCCTCGCTAGACGATGATAATCCGTTCCACTGAAATCGCTGTCTAGCGAAATAATTGTCTAGCGAAAAGCAAATCGTCATCTAGCGAAAATCAGTTTGCGAAGCAGGGACCAAGCATTGTCCAGCGAAATTCCCCCATAGGAATCACTGTTTTGCGAATCGCTATAGCGATCGCAAAAAGCCAATGTCTAGCGAAAAAACTGTCAAGGGGGGTAACTGTCTAGCGAGGCACCACTGTATTTTGGCCTCCTGTCCCCTTGATCTGATTCTTGCGACTTCCCGCTGGTCCTGGCGAGGGTTTTTTAAATTCTGCCGTAGAAGTTCTGAAGAGTCATGGCTCTGGATTCTGGGACCAGTTGAGCCTCTTCATTCTCTCCCCACGATCTGCCTCCTGGCGCCCCAAGTTCTGTCAAAAAAGGATCCCAGGGTCCAAAAGGAATAATTTAAGTTGCAGCCTCTTTTCGTCCTCCCCTCTTTTTGTTTCGTTAAGACTTTACGAGACCTTGTGTTGCATTGCCTCGGACGACCTGGGCAGCCGGTCTCCTCCTGTTTCGCTTCTGACACAGGAGGTGTCAGCCGACCCCTGGAATGTCCCGCTTTGCTTCAGGACAGCTAATAAATAAATACAAAATTTGCACAGAGGCCGATGGGTCTTTTTTGGGGGTAATCCGTGATGGCCACACACAGTAAGAAGTCAGCAATACGTGGTGGCCAAACGGGAGACGTTTGTTTCTGTGGTTCTCAAACACCGGCGACCCTGATTTCATCCTGTGAATAGTTTGAAAGCTCTTCTGTATGTTCTTCTCTTTTTCTCAAGATTTCAGAAAGGGAATCCCCCACCTTCCGCTTTCCTGTTCTACGTGGTGCGAAACGGTTTCTTCTCATGTTGAGTCCGCGTTTGCACCTGGTTTTCTCCTAAGTCCCTGGAAATGACTCTTTTTTTCCATTTTTTTTGGCAGTACAAAATACTGTCAGGGTGTGAATGGACGGACTGGATCCTTTCTCTGGGAGAAGTGGGTGGAAGGGATCTATCTGCCAGGCCCCGTTCATGCCATTTTCCTGTGTTGCCGTTTGAACTTCAGAGCGGATCTGGCCGAGCCCACCTGGCAGGAGAAGGACGATTCCCTTGACGAAAGGTCCTTGGAAAAACTGGAGCTGAACGGGAGTGTATCCCCAGAAACAACGGCCCCGGCCATGTGCCTGAAGGAGGTCTTCCCGAAATATGCGAAACAGTTCAACTACCTGAGGTTGGTGGACCGGATCGCAGACCTCTTCATCCGTTTCCTGGGTGTGAAAGGGACCACTCGCTTGGGGCCCACGGCTTTCCGGACGTTTATAAGGTGAGGGTCTGGGTAGGTGGGAGAGAGAGAGAAGATCTTTACTACCCTGGGGTAGAATCCACCCCTCGTGGTGCTGATGTGTGTATACGGAGGCATGCTCAGTCTGTAGAGTTTCCCCAGAGCACCGGCCCTCCTTCCCCCCCAACAAATTAATTTCCCAATTTTTTGGGTGGGTTGAAACCCCTCTCCAAAGGCTGAGAGCTCACATGTGCTTGTCTTTTAACTCCCTGCCCACCCATGGAAGGCTGGCGTGGCAACATCTCTGGAATTAAATTATATTTGGATTCCTCCGCTGAGCAGGGGGGTTTGACTTGACGGCCTTAGAGGCCCCTTCCATCTCCATTCTTCTAGGGTTCTAAAATTGGCGCTTGGGCCAAAAGAGGCTCGGGACCAAGGATTCTCCAGAAGACGACGTCCCAGACCTGGATTCCACACAATTTCGCTGCCTCCCAGCCTGTTTGGCCAGATGAATCGGTGAAGGCCCTCCTCCTGTTTTCCCCTGAGCCACATATTTCCGTATACAATTTTTTTGAGCCTTAAGAAGGTCAGAAAAACTGTGGGGCCTGGACAGGTTTCTTCCCTGTCCGCGTGGCCCTGACCCACTTTCTTTTCATTTGGCCTCCTCTAGAAACAGCAAGATCAGCAACAGTGGCTTCAGCATGGCTGCTGCCGATATCCTGTATATTGACATCACCCGAAGAGGAAGTGGCCTAGGGGTGGACCAAAGGGATGTGGGTAAGTCCCCCTTTTTAAAAAAATAACTACAATAAATCCGTCACAAAACTGTGATGATTGTGGAAGAGAGGAAGGGAGATCTTTTGACGTGCATTGTCCCCGTTGCTGATGAGGGGGGACCCCACGCGGTCTCCATCCAACTTGGTCTGACCACTTTGGAAACTCGAGAGATGCCAGTTACTTTTCCGGCACCCGAACACTCAACCCTTGAAGGCCTGTGGGTTAATTTCTCTTCTACAGCACCGAAGAGGTGGGGGTGAATGTACGATATGGTTTTATTTCATTTATTTGCCGCTGTTCTCCCAGTATAGGAAGCCAGGTGGTTTAGCAAAACAGATCAAAACACGGTAAGCGGTCATGTTAAAAGTCAAGCGTCTAAACGGCCTCTGGACGGGAAGGGAGAGAAAAAGCTGTGTGCAGAACTGTCCAGCTTTTGAGTTTCACGGGTAAAGGACGAGGCCGGCGACCCATCAAAGCCACAGGAAGCGTATTTTTCATGCTCCTTGCCATCTGGCCCCGTTGTTAATTCTGGATTAGCCCTTGGGTGTTTGTTTTGTTTTGCTTCTTAAAATTGCTGGGGATCAGCAGGATCTGTTGGTTCTGGGATGTCGCTCGCACAGATTGTGAGTGTGCGTTGTTTTATCCCCGTGGTGCCTTTTCTTTGCTGACCTGAAAAAGGTGACAAGACAGAAATTTACGTTGGAAGGTAACGGAACGTTTCTTTTTGACTCTCGGAAAGCCACCTGCTTTCCTCTGAGCCGTACAAGAATACAGCTGTTTGTGCAGATTTCCTGGCTTCTTTGCCTCGGCTACACGGCGCCCTTCATGACCCTGGCAGTTGGGGGTGCCAAGGGTGGGTGTGTACACACCATCATTCCCCACCACGCGTTCTTTTTATTTATGCTCTCTATCTGGCACACCGAGCACTTTGGCTTGAAGACAACATCTGGGCTGGGGCGGGTGAAGTGCAGCGTCCCCTACATTGCTTGGACTACAACTCCCAGAAGCCCTTGCAAGCCGTATTTCAATGAAAAGTTCTGAAGTGTTGCTTTCAGGGCCGGAGTGTGTGTGTGTGTATCTCCTGCCCCACTTCACAGAGACTGATGGAGGAAAGTCCAGAACTAGCATCTGCTGAGCGCTGATAAACTGATCCAAATTTGTATGTGTGTCTGTGTTTTGCCAGGTGGCTGGCTGCCCACCTCGCGGATGACCCCACTCTTAGCCCTCAGCTGAAACAGATTAGACTGTTGGATCTCATTTTGCCATTTCAAAGGGCTCATTTCTCCCGCTTGCCTTTGTTAGCCTGAACCGAATGAGCAAAAAATAACAACGCACACATTTTGATGTCTTATCTGGGAAACACTACCCATTCAGCGTTCACCCTGCACCGCGCCAGGCCTCTAAGGGCTTTCTCTTCCATGGCTAAGCATATTGTGAAAGTGGCCGAACACCGCAGAGGTCTTCCACTAGGTAGGAAGTCGGACATTTTAATTCACGAGCAGGTGTGTGTTTTTTGTTTTGAAAGCTCCCATTGTTGGTAGCTGATCTCCTCCACCTTCCTTCACCTCCAAAAACTATCTCCAGGTGCAAGAGGAGGGGGTGGCAAAAGGAGAGGAAAAGCCAGTTATTTCTCTCCATTGTGAGAACCTTACTGTTTCCGAATTGGTATGAACGCAGTGTTAAAAGCTTTAACAGCTCAGTGGCTCCTTCGCCCACCAAAAATATGTGCCCTGCAGGTATGGGGGGTTACAAATCCCATCATTCCCAGACACACGGAACTGGCACTGGGGGGGGGAGGCAGGCCAACATAACTCATCACTCAGCCTCCTCTCTAGATTCCAAGGCTTTTTTCCTGATCAAAAGTTGCTCTCAGCGATGTATGCTTTTTCTCCCCAACCTTAATAGCTGTGTAAGGTTTGACTTAGTTCCTTTGTATTCCTTGGCCCGTTCTGCGCTCTACTCCCTGGCAGTACCTGGTTCTTCCCCAGGACCTGTGTTTCCCTTACATCGTGTCCGCTTGGGTGTTCTCTCTTCAGGTCATCACCGGTTCATTTCCCCTTCGTTTCCTCCAGCCAGTGCGTCTTGAACCCTTTCCAGTCATTCAGTTTCCAAGTTTGTTCACATGTGATGTGGTCCACCTGTGATCAAAGGGGATCCCCCCCTTTTTTGCAGAAATCGCACCTGTTCATTTGCCTCTGAGCAGTTGGAATGTTGGTGATTGTTCCTTGACTGTCCATACAGAAAAGATGCATCTTTGTCTGCTATGAAACCTCTCTCTCTCTCTCTCTGCGTCTGTTTGGGGGGGTCTAGTTTCATTTTCTGGCCCATCTTTGATGGCCCTGATTCCTGAATCAGTGGTAAGGCTAAAGGTCAAATGGGACAAAAAAGGGAACTGCACAATCCCTACAGTTAACCCGACTAGCACATTTTCTGACCCATAGTGGGATTTTGCCAGAAATTCATGCCTCAGGAGTATTGCAAATTAAGCCTGTGCTTACCTTTCCATTGACCAATCACAAAACAAAGCACGCCAAATGCCAGATGGGTAGGTGAGGAAAAAAAAATCCCATGCTGTGATAGTTATCTTTTTCCACTGGGGGGCAGCACCTGTGCAGGAAGCTCATAATAAATATCCTCCCTGAGTGGACATTTTGGCGCATCCTTCCCATCTCCTCTCCCTCTTTTCTAGGTATGGGCCTGCAGGCTTTCGTGGAGGCGATCTGTCTCCTGGCCCAGCGGAGGTACAAGTCCCTCTCGCTGCACGAGCAGGTGGAGCTCCTGATGGACTTCTGCGAATACCACCTGGCCACCCTGGATGAGAAGCGCCTGGCCGGCCAGAGCCGCCCCGTCCCCGAGCATCGCACGGCGGTCGTCACCTGCCACCACGACCGGCTGCAGCTCAGCCCAGCTGCCCACACGCCGCCTCCGTACCACCACGCCCATAAACTGGTGGATTATAGAAGCCGCCGGACCTGAAGGGGTGGCCGAACTTCACCGGGGGGGGGAATGATTTCACCTCCCTGGCGAATGATTTTGCTGGGGAGGGGAAGGGGGCAAGGGCGCCCTCTCTCGCACCAGCGACAATTTTTTTTGGAAGGGGGTTTGCGTCCTCTGCCTTTATCCGCGGTTCCTAAAAGCAGTGGCTGGCCATTTGCGACGTCCCATCAAAGCCAGAGGGGCACTCTTGGGTATTTCAACCTGCTGGAAGTCATCTCTGCGGTCCAGGAGCCGAACCGGCGAGGGAGTCAAGCCATCTTGCTGAAGAGGAAGCCCCCCCCCATGGTGGTCAAAGTCTGGGTCCAGCGGAGAGAAGCTTTCCTGGCCTTTTGCCTTGAGGGAGGGAGGAGGAAATCGGAGGGAGGGTGAGGCCCCCCTGGGAGAAATTGGGGGTGGGGATGGGGGTGTCCGTGAAGGAGAACTAAATTCCTATTTATCTATTCCAGCTGCTTTTGTAAGGGCTTGTTTCCTTCTGAAAGACCCGAGGCGGGAGGGAGCAGGGTGGCGGCCTTGCTATTGGAGCTCGGCAGCGCGGGACGCTTATTTCACTTGTAGAAAGTCATGGGTTCCCAAAAACGCTGTTCGATGGGCGAGGCAGCGAGCCCTCCTCAGCATGCATGCACATGGAGTAGCTCTGCTGTCCGACTCCAGTTCATTCTCCTGCACACACTCACAGTTTTGGGGAGTGGGGTGGGTGGGGCCCCGTGTAGTTCTTACCCTCGTAAACCGAACAGCGGTGGAGCTTTGTGTGAACTCTGGGGCCCTTGCATGCTGGGAATGAGGTGGGTGGGGTGGGAATAGTTATTTTCAAGGAATAAATTAGCTCTCCACACAAGTGCACTGATCACAATCTGCATGCATTCGCTTTTGGAAGCCTGCATGTATGTTCCACAACCTCCCAACGGCACTGGGCATGTGCCAGAATTTGTTACTGGATGCAAATCAGCTTCCGTTAACACAAAAAGCAAGGAAAACCAAGCTTCTAGTCCTCAAGACGAAGTAGCCACGCCAAAAAAAAACTCTCAGAAGCTATGAGCATGTGCATTTGTGAGGTCGAGCAGGGAAAAGGCAGGATTCCAGACAGATTTCCAGAGATCGGAGGGGCGAAATGGCCTTCGACTCCTACATAACTCTTCACAATCGCCTCCTCCATTGAACAGAAAGACCTTGTGAAAAATAGCCAGACTATGGTGGTTCGATATGCATTATTTTATAAACAGGCTGCAGAATTCATTGGGAGATTTTTCTGCACGAGTTGAGACGGGTTTTTCTTCCAGCTCAGAAATGCAAAGTTGGCTTTCGTCCCGGGTCAGTTTTGTCTTGGACGAAGTCTTGTGGAAGTAGAGAGAGCGGTAGGCGAGGAAGGGGAGCAGGGGGACCGGTTGGCTGAGAGGGGCCACGCTCCGTGGCCTTCAGAGATGGATGCAGCCAGTGTCAGCCTGAAATGGTGCAGGATTGGTCAAGGCTGGTTGTAGAAGCTTCTCACTATCAGCCTGTTTTTTTTGGGGGGGGGCGGATGTGAAATGATCAGGAAGATTATTATTTTCTCTGTCAAGAGGAAACAGGCGGCTTGGAGCGCTGGCAGCTGTCAACACAGCCCGAGCGAAAAGAGGGCCATTCTCTCCGCCCCCTTATTTTCTGCTGTAACAGAGTCTTTGAAGATGCTCTCACGCAGAAAAATGCTTCCATCGGTGCAGGGCGAGAGCGGGAATTTGTCTCCCCATCAGCAGCATTTAGGAGAAAATAGCTGACGTGCGCCTTTCTGCCAGGTGATTTATGTCTCACTCAGATGGGCTGGAGCAGGCATTAGATGTCCCAGGAGATGTGGTGGGAATGTGCTGTACGGATCGTGGCCGATCCACTCCCTCTGGGACAGAGAAAGCTGCAGAACGCAAACTGGGCTTTCTCTGCCCAACTCCTGTAAGGTTGGGCTAGGCATTAGATGTCCCAGGAGATGTGGTGGTGGGAATGTGCTGTATGGACAGAGAATGTTGCAGAACGCAAGCTTGGCTTTCTTGACCCAACCCCTAAAAGGTTGGGCCCTTCATTTCTCTGCAGCCATCAAGAATCAGGTTAATCCAGATCCTACGCTCACATCTGATATGAACATAGGTTGGGAAAGGCCCAGACTAACATTTTGGAATATAAAAATGTCCCCACGGTTTTCTCTCGCTCCATTGGGATTGGAGGAGATCGTTCGAGAGAGCAAACAGGAGGAAAGGGCATAAAACTTTCTTCCCCGTAGGGGGTAATGTCCGGGTGAGCTGTTGCCAGCAGGGGGCAGGATTGTCACAGCATTGCTGGGAGGTCTGGACCCTCCTTATGGGCACCCCGGCATGGAAATGCTTAGCACAGTGGCAACGAGTGTGAGTGTATGTGGTATACTTGTGTCTTGGACTTTGAGTTCCACCAGAACTATGAATTAACTTCTCTTCATTTTTAGCTCTGCATTTCTTAGGGCTGCTGGAACGATTGTCAGAGACCCCTGTTCTTTGTGTAGCGCTTTTGACTTTCAAAAGCTCCGCGCAGGTTTCCGTCTTGGCTCCGAATTGGCTATTAATCCGTTCAACGGGGCAAACTTGACAACTGCATGCAGCATCACTTGATCGACAGCCATTGCGTTAAAAGGAGGTTTGCCTGACTAGAAAGACGCACCTGATTCAAGGGGCGCCTTTGAGACAAACCGGTTTATTAAAAATTAATTCATCTTACAGAGGCACAATGTTTAGGTGAAACAGACTAACACGACTTCCTCCTACCTCCACCCACAAATGTCAGCAGAAATCACATGCTTGTCCGTGACGGATGGTGTTTGAGTGTTTGTTGTCAAAGAAGACCTGATTTGGTAAATACTTAGTCCGTCTATCACAGCTGGTTTACCCACATGGAAGGGAGTCAAACACACTTAATCTTAACCCCACCGTATCGTCAACAATACTTTATGCTCCGTCTCTCTCTGTACTTGGAGGGCTTCCTTGCTTGAGCGCGTTTCTTAATTGAAATCTTATTTTTTTTAAAGCTGGATTAAGTCAGCGGCACTGATTTTTATGTAATTAGAGTTTAAGCCATTGTGTGTTTTGAAGAACAGCTAATTAGAGTTTAAGCCATTGTGTGTTTTGGAGAACAGCTTTGTTGTTGTTGTTGTTGCTGGTTTTAGGAGAACTAGTTTATATAGAGGTTGGGAGTTTGATTTCCCCCCATTGGGCCTCCTTGGCAGGGGGGGTGGACTTGATGGTTTGTAGGATCCCTTCCAGGTCTGCAATTCTAAGATTATACTAAGATTTCACCACCACCCCAACTCCGGAGTCATAATACGCCAAATATGCAATTCACAATGGAAAAGAAATAGAGGGACAACTCCGTTTCTTAGGTGTCATGCTCATACG